AAACAAAAAAAAAAAAAAAAAAAAAAAAAAAAAAAAAAAAAAAAAAAAAAAAAAAAAAAAAAAAAAAAAAAAAAAAAAAAAAAAAAAAAAAAAAAAAAAAAAAGGAAAAAAAAAGAATTTAAAAATAAACAAGAACAAAATTACAATAGAGAATGTCAATTCCAAATAAAATCCTACAGGTTCTGCTGATTCTCCATCAAGTGGCAGGGCTCAAAGTCATCATTAGGAGAAGATTTTATTTTTAAAAGTGTCATCTTAAACTGCAAGGATGTTTGTTAAACATCACAATTAAACATGCCAAAGGAGAAGAAGCCATGTTGTCAAAATGCCCACTTAAACCCACCCAAACATCTGAAACCCACCCCCGGCTGACCTTCTATAACCACCCCCCGCCCCGTTTTTATTTTTTCTTTTTATTTATTATTTTTTTTTGTAGGTTTTTTTGTCTTTTTTTTAAACAAGAGAAAGTAGACAGATACATGTTGGTAAATGCTAACTGTCCATATTCACATAGAGACACAGTGTAATCTCTGAGCCCAATATACAGAGAAAGAAGGAAAAAAGCTAGATTCTATGCACTACTACACAGGGGCCTAGCACTCTTCAGCTTCCAGCAGAGTGAAGGGAGCAGAAGGTTTTCTTTTTTCCCACAGAACATGGTGTGTTGATTCCATAAACAGTTTTTTTGTTGTTGTTGTTGGTTGGTTGGTTGTTTTTTGTTTCGAGACAGAAAGGGATAAAAATGAACTTGAAACAGAAACCGGCAGATTCTTTTTTTTCCACTGTGTTCTGCTCAAGGTATTTCCCCCAAAAAAGAAATGGTGAACCATGGGTGGAGAGGAGATAAAAAGAGACCTCAAGAGAACAAGGCGACTGAGCACAAGAAATAAAAGACAGCAACTTGCTCCCAGGGACTGGAGAAAAATTAAAAAGGTAAAAAGGGGGTTTGGAATCCATCAGTGTTCAATTAGTCATCTTCTCCTTCATCCTCCTGTTGAAAGAGAAGCAACGATTAAAACAATCTAAATCACTGAACTTAGATAGCAAATGCAGTGAGTGATCAGAGTTGTACAGTTCCTGTAGGATCATCTCATCCCCTCTAAGGCACTCCTTTGAGTGCCCAAAAATCCCTCAATACCTGCATGTCCCAATAAAAACACACAGATGTCTGAGAAAAAAACCTGACTTAGAATCACTACAACCATTCATGAGTTTAACATTTGGAAAGTGAAGGGGTCTTTCCCCCCCCCCTCATTTTAAACTGTGAAATGCTCCAACTTTCATGTGCCAAATTCAAGGTTACAAAACAAGAGCCCAGAGCAGATCTCCTCTCAGCACAAGCAGTTTGTGCTGCTCACAGTCAGACACACCACACCCAGTTATGAGAAACACAAATGTTTTCAGTTCCCAACACCCTGGATGCTGCTCCTGGAATCCCACTTGCTACTTAAGAAAACTTCTAATTCCTGAACCCGACAGAGAGTCTTAGCTAAGCTGGCCATAAGCAGAAATAAACCAACAAGTGGGAGGATGACTGGAGGCATCAACAACAGCTATTTATGTGTAAAACACTGCTAGAATGTTCACTAATTAAGAATTTTGTTACATTCTCGTTCTTCTGGAGCACCTCCCTTAGAAATTTACTACAACTCCATATTTACACGGTGTTTCTCATATACACAAACATCCTGACTGCTACACTGAAACCACTCCACAAATAGTGACAGCTCTGTTTCTCCCCTCCAAACACCCTGGAGCTCAAAAAAAGAGCTATTTCACCTTGCTGACAACAGCCTGGTATTCTCACAAGATCCCTCCTACACCAGAGGTGGACGGCATGAAGGGCAAGATTACTCACCTCTCCTTCCTCTCCCTCATCATCATCTTCATCTTCCTCCCCCTCATCTTCGTCTCCTTCTTCATCAATATCCTCTAATCCTTCCTCCTCTTCATCATCATCGTCATCCTCCTCTCCCTCCCCTTCTTCATCGTCCATGTCAGGAACCTTTAAAGGCACATTTACAACATCAACCCCAGCCATCAAACCCCCTCTCGCTCCCCCAGGGCTGCTTTGGGCCCCCTTTCCCTGCAGGGCTGCACCTACCAGGTAGTACTGTAATGGGTTGGGCCAGATGTCATCCTTGATGACTTCTCCTAATTCATCAGCCCCTGCATCAGAGTGGTCAGTGAACCAGGTGAAGAAGCTTTCTGGCTCTTCGTGCTGCCTCTTCCTACTGGCTTTGTTCTGTGTCTGGCTTGAACGTTTTGTCAGGTCCTGAAAAGCAAGTTAAAAAGTTCACTGAAGTTGTCTTTGCGTGGCTTTGTGTGTTTTATTTTTAGAAGCCTACTTGTCTAAACACCCACAATAAGTCACCTTCTCTTTATTCAGGGTAAGTCTTTAAGAAACATTTGGAACCCAAACAGTGCATTTGTCACCAATGTGAGGGAACAGCAAACCTGTTTCTTTCAAAGACTTCCACAGAAACACTGAAAATTCACGGAATCTCACATTTATGCTTCTCTACCCCAAGGAAGCAAAAGTATGACAAGTATTTAATGAATTTAAAAGGTCTCACAACAGCTACTCAGAGTAGCTGTAACTGCAACTGGATGCTACCACTACTAAATACACCCAATTCAAGAAACAATCTGCACACCTCCAAGCTCTGTATTTAACTTGAGATAAAGACCTGTCTGGGCCTTCTTAGCTCAACATTTTCTGCTTTGAAGTCTTCAGGCCATCCTTTGTGGTAAGTGGGGGGAAAAAACCAACCACACAAACCACTCACTCACGGTCACAAGAACATGTGAGTTCTGGAAGTGTAGTAAGTTTGCAACAATCTCTTTGCCAACTCTAAAAATTACTACCCACTATTTAAATAAATTACTTCTTTGATCATACAGTAACTCCAAACTTTCAGTATTTGTTTTCTTGACAATCACATTTATAAGTTTAAACAGAAGAAGAATACCAGAATTCCCATTAATTTTTGTGGTCCATTTTAAGGATCACTTGGCCAGTTTGTACAGGACTCTAAGTTCTTGTAGAAGAGGAAAAGTTCTAGATCTCAATGAAAAAAGATCAAGTTTTCTCCTTGGTCTGAGGGTGACAAAGCAACAGCAACTTAACTACAACCCTCAGTTCTACTTTTAAATACTCAGTTCAAAATCTTCAGGGTAACATGAAAGTGCTTCCAACTTTTACAGAAATAAAGTAATAATAAATAATAATAAATGATGTTTGAATGCTGCCTGGATGACAGGTATGCCCACATTATTGTGTGGCTGCAGCTTCTACAAAGATGTGGTGTCTGGAAATGAAGTGGAGCAAATAAAAATAAAATCAAATCACGCTCCACCATCTGATCTCCCAAACATCTGTCCTTAGAATTTCTTATTTAATATTTTTTAAGAAAACAACAGTCTAGATGCTACCCAAGGAAGAGACAAACTCCTGTGCTTGGTAATGCCTCCACCTGGTCATCCCTGTGCTTTCACCCTTTTCCTGGTGGTGTTTAACTGAGCAAGAGAATCCCCTACAGATCTCCAAGGAATTGGGGTATCCCAAACCCTGCAGGACAGCCACGAGCTGGATGTGGAGAGAAGTGCCAAGGGGAGTGAGAGGGGAGGAAAGAAGGACAAGGCAGCTTCAGTGCAAAAGGAAAAAGCCAAAGGAAGGTGATTAAAGCAATTCCATCCCAGAGCAGCAATCAGCTCTCCCAGATGCTCTCCGTACCTTCCCAGATTTCCATTTGATCTCAGTTGATTTTGAAGAAGGGTCTCCACTTTCGTTGAGGTGAAACTCTTTGGAGAGAACTTTATTTTCAAAGTAGGGATTCTCATCAAAATACTGCAGAGTGGAAAGCAGGGAGTTAGAAACCACAGAGTGGCAACACACAGGCCAGGTCAAAGCTGGCACTGAATGGGCAACTGAAGAGATTAAATTACAAACCAGAGCCCAACATGCAAATTACATCCAAAAACCCCAGTAAAATAACAAGCGAAGGAATCATTTTAAGTACTTACAAAATCTATTCTGTAACCTGATTTGATGTCTTCAAATTCTGTCACCTCCACTCTGGTCAAGTAATGCAGTGCTTCCTCATCTTCTTCTCCCAGCAGTGCAGATACTGAGACAGAACCAGGGATCCCACATTAACAAAGCCACGGAATGGACACCAGGCAGGCAAAATACAGGGAACTGATGGCAAGATCCATCTTAAAAGCAGCACATCTGTCCAAACCTGCCTTTAATTCCGGTTAGCAGCCCCTTTAATTCCAGTTAGCAGCCACCAGACTGTTTGCATTTGCTGAGGTGAACACATCACATCTGCTTGCTGCAGTTTAGTGTTAAAGAGCAGCAAACATCCATCCACCCTTCTCTGACACAGATTTTCATGCCAGTTGTTTGCCCAATCTAAACAGTCTGCGAACTTGTTTTGCAGAAGGTTTGTTGTCGAGAACCCCAAGGAGCTCCCTTCCAATTAAAAACACCCAAACAAACTAAAATCTTAATTTTTCTTTTTACTCTAAGGGCCCAATGCACTGAATAAAGTGGGGAAGTTGCCATTTAAAATGCAGACGTTTTAGGATTAAAGTATGTTAGTAAACAAGAAGTTCTTTTGTCAACAAGTGCTAGAAATAAAGTTTATAAAATTTAACCTAGGACAGAAAGGAAGTTTTTGGTATGACCAGTGACAACTGTGCAGGACCCTCAGAGCTGCAAGACACCTTTGTAACAAGCAAGCAAACACTGAATTTACAGGGGAAAAAAGGAGGGCTATTAAGGATGTACCTTGTGGGTGGTTGACAAATGTTGTTACCCAGAAATTTGGGATTTTGGCGATCAACTCTGACCTCTTCTGGAAGAATGGTTGGCGGAGTTTGTTGTATTTCTGTTCTACTTTCAAAATTTCCTCACTGGCTTGTTCATTCAGTCTGGAACACAAGGAGCCAAGTTAACCACAGGAGAGAATGGCAGTTCAGGACACACCATCAGTACTGAACCAAGAGCTGGATGGCTCTGATAAGATCAGGCTGCCAAATCTCTCATGGAATATCCCAAAAAAACCCCAGGCCCAAAGCTGGAACAACCATTAAACACCCTGCAAAAGAACCTCCCTGGTCTCAGTGGAACCTTCCCAACACACTGAGTGTTCTGCTGGGATGGAGCTTTATTTATGCAAAGCCAAGCAGTGTTTTACCCCTTAAACATTTTGTTTGCAAAAGACCTGCAGATGGAGAACACACCACACCATCACCTGCTCTCTGTCACTTCTGGCCAGGCAAGGAAGCCACAGCAAAGCAACTTTACACCCCGTGCAAGTAAAACCTGAAGACATAACGTTTGATTGTTGTTGTAAAAAGGCAAAGCCCTGACACTGCAACAGCTTCACATGTCAGAGCCCCAGAAAACACCTGCAGGACTGTGGGCAGGGGACAAGATCCAGGCAAAGCCCCACAGCCCAGAGAGCTCTGACATACAAAACTAACGTTTCAGACACATTTACTACACGTTATTCTACAAGCACACAGATATTATAATAAAAATATATAATAAAAGCCGACTTTTCAACCAAGTTCTTGGTTCTGCTTACAAACAAGGAAATGCTTTTGCCAAATAACACACACGTTAACCCAAAACCCCAAGACAAAATACTTTGCTGCTATCAAAACGACCACAATTAATTTAAAATTTTAAACTCGAGTTCTCCCTTTTTAATTCCACACAGTTAAGCAAGAAACCAGGACACTTCTTTGGTTTTTTTAAGCCTCTAATCAAGTCAGAACACACGTTATGCTTTGGCAGAGTTCAAACAGAGAGAGCACTGCCGAGCACTTCATTTACTCAATATTTTCACTCTGACAGTTACACTTCAATTTGGGCTCCAACGTTTGAAAAGTTTGATAACATTTACCTGTCTATTTCATTCTGTACTTCATCAATGTGTTCAATTGCTTCCTGTTGCTCTTTTTCTGAAAAACAAACGAAAATGTGTCAACATCCCTTCGTCCTCGAGCCTGACAAATCACCTGGGGCTTCTCTTCGAGACCTTTTCTAGTGATCTACTGTAAAAGCGCCCCGGGATTTCTACTTCATGTAATAAGTCTTACAGGACCTCAAAGCTTCAGCCTCACAGGGAGCTGAAGCGCAGGAAAGTTTGACAAAACGGCCCTTGAAGCGAGTTCACCCCCAGAAACCACAGCTCTCGTCCCCCTCCGCAGTTTTACAAGCCAACTTGATTTAAAAGTCAACCGCGACACACGATCAGCAATTTAATTTAAGTGTTGTAAGCCGCGTTCACTACGACCGACACGATCGAGGGAACGTGAAATAATTTAGAGAGGACGGCGCTATCAATAGGAACGGCGTGTCTGGGCACACGCCACCTTCCCCACAGCAAAAAGGACATTCGGGAGGAGGGTTACAAACAAAAACGCCTCAAAAGCGGCCGCTCGCAGGGGTTTTCTACCGGGCCGTTCTCCCGGCCGCAGGTTTGGGTTCCGGAGCGCTGTTTCCCCGCCGCGCGGGCGATGAATGAGCAGCGCCCGGGGGGGCCGTGCCCGTGCCCGCCGCGGGACGCACGTGGGGCGGCAGCGCGGGCAGCGCCGCGCCGAGCGCGGCCTCCCGAACCCGCGGGCGCACGTGGGGCGGCCCCGGCCCCGCGCGTCCCGGCCCCGCGGCACCACGCGGCCGCGGCAGGCGGCGGCGCATCATGGCGGCGGCGGAGCGGCAGCACAATGAGGCTCCGCGGACGCCGCTCCGCGAGGGGCGGCGCGGGGGGGGGTCCCGCCGCTCGGGCCGAGCCGCAGCGCCCCCCGCCCGGCCCCGCGGGGAGGGCGGCCGGGCCGGCGGCGCAGACAAAAGGGCGCTGTAACATGGCCTCCTCCCGCCGCCGCCGGGCCTGCACATCCGCCCGGCCCGGCCCGCGCTCCGCCCGCCCCCGGCGCGGCCGCGGCCCGTGCGGCGGGGGAAAATGGCGGTCGGGCGCGAGGCGGAGGCCGCGCCGGCTGCCGCCATTCCCGTCCCGCCCCCGGCGCGGCCTCACCTGAGGTCTCGTCGGCCCCATCGTGGTTGGAGTTCAGCTCCTTCTTACTGACTTTGGCCGCCGGCGCCGACATGTTGGAGGCTGCGGAGCTCGGAGGGCGGGAGGGAGGGGGGGCTGCGACGGGGGTGCGCGGGGGGGAAGGGGGGGAGCCGGGCGCTGACTCCTCCTGCTACCGCCGCTGCTGCTGCTGCCGCCGCCGCCGCTCGGGTCCGTCCGCCGCCGGGGCGCTCCCGCCTCCTCCGCGCGGTGCTGCCGATACCGGGGCGGCAGCGGCGCCTCTCGCTGCCCTCGCGCTGCTCGCCCGGAGCCGCCGCCGCCGCCTCCTCCTCTGCTGCTGCCGAGGGGCGGGCACGCGGGGCGCATGCGCGGCCACCCCCCCCGCCCCAGCGCCGGGCCACGGCGGCCGCAGCGCGCGTGCGCGCCGAGCCCCCCGCCCCGGGGCGCGCTGTGCCGCGGGCGCTGCGCTGCGCAGGCGCCGAACGGCCTCTCCCCACCCCGCGCCGGGGGGAGGGCGGGGCGGGCCCGGCGCGCGCGCAGCCGCGGGGAGGCCGCGCCCCCGCTGTCGCCGCGGAGCCGGGCGCTGATTGGCGGGGAGGGTCGGTGGGGGGCGCGGCCTCGGCGCGGAGACACAGAGGACGGCGCGCGCGGGAGGTTCACGCATGCGCGCGCTGCACGTGCCCGCGCGGCCCGGCTGAGGCGCCGAGCGCGAGGCCCCCGGGGGTGTCACCCCTTCCCCCCCACTCAGTCCCCACACGGCCCGGCGCGGGGCAGGACGAGGGGCGGCAGTGGCGATCAGGGGCACCGGTCTCCAAATGGCCCCTAAAGGCTCCAGTGCCGTGCTGTCCCACCACCTGAGGCTGCCTGAGAGCGGCCGGTGCCATCGGTGATCCCCATCTCCCTGCGCTGCCTCCTTCAGCTGGGATGTGTCCCAAAGCACTCACAGAATCAACAAGGTGTGGAGAGACCTTTGGGATCACCCAGTCCAACCGTGCACCCAGTGCTGCCTCTGTAACCCCTAAATCCCATCACCCAGCACCACATCCAACACCTTCGGCCATGGTGACTCCACCACCTCCCTGGGCAACCCATTCCAATGCCTGACCACCTGAACAGTGAAAATACTGTTCTAATATCTGATCTGAATCTCCCCTGTCTCAGCTTGAGGCCATTTCTTCTGCTCTTCTCACTGAAGGCACAGCAGAAGAAACTGGCCCCCACCTCACTACCACCTCCTCTCAGGTAGTTGGGAGTGATGAGGTACCCCTGGCACCTCCTCGAGACTAAACAAGCCCATATAAATAACATGGTTGAGGGCACTGAGCCCTGTCGGTCACACCCAGCCCGTCACTGGGGGGGCACAGCTCCAGAAGGTCACTGAGCCGCCTGCCAGCACCTGCCACTGCACCCAGAGCAGCAGCACTTTAAATAACCCTTTCCTGTCCACCTGTCATGGAAGAGCTCAGTGCAGCTTCACAGCCACGGCTCACCCGGGTTTGCTCTTAAAGGAACAGCCAAGTCACTCTTTTCTATTGAAACCAGCATCACGTCGGTCACAGCAAGTGTTATGACACAGATCGGGGTTAGAAACAAGTACAGCTTCGAGGAAGTGGGAATTTGCCATTTGTATTTGCTTCCCAGGCACACATTAACCCATTCTCAATCCTCGTTTCCTCTTTTGCCTCTTCAAATTGCCCTCACAATGAGTCAACAAGGCCTGGATTAGTTCCTGCCTCCTCAGGGGTCTTCACTACAGTTTTCTGATTCCCCCTCCCACCTGTTGCTTCCAAATCCCAACTGTCGTTTTCCTTTTGTATTCCCAGCTGTCCCTTCCCACCAGCTCTGTCCTTGCTTCCACTGCCACATGTCCAGGCTTTGGGCTGTGCTTCCCTGGGCCAAGAGCAGCAGAGAGGAGCTGCCATCCCTTGGCTCTCTGGTTCCACACACACCAACGACCTTTACTGGTCACAAAAGGGAAGCAAAACACCCCGGCTTTGTAAATGCAAGATTATCACATCCTTCCCGAGAGGGACGACCCAAGGCCTTCCTGAAGCCCTTCACAGCAAGGGGACTCCTTTCATACTCCACCTGCACCTCCCAACATCATTCAGATGGATATCTGCCCGTTCAGACAAGGTAAGCTCATGTGTGGGACTTGGTTTTATCCTCCTGTTTCCCTTGGGTCTCTTGACTGTGCAGGTGTATTTCCTTGGGGTTTCTTTTCCCTCTTTTCTCACCTGTAATTTACTGTTGTCTTTCTCTAGATTCGCTTTTGAAGGTCTATAATTGGAAATAAAGGTGCAAAGTGTGAAGGCTGATTCCAAGAAGTATCTGCCAGCTCCCTACTAGAATCCCTTGTTTAGTCTATAAATTACCAGGTATTCTGAAGTACATGATTAGGGTGTTCCACTGGTGTATCCAAAGTCAAATAATCGTTAATTTTAACTGCTGTACTGTTAGAAACCCATTTCCACTGTCTGTTTATCCTGCCCTAAAACTAGCTACTATAAAGAAAAAAAAAAGCATATTAATGATATTTAAAATAAGGTAAATATATGTCAATAATAAAATATATAATTATTAATATAAATAAAATATTAAAATAAACACTTATTTTTTTTTATTTTAGACACAAAATACAAACCTGTGTTTTCATGTGAAAAGAGAAAGCAGGGGGTTCAGTTTGGGGGGAAGGAAGAGGTGTTCTTTCACATAGTTTCTGGTTTTTTTGCTTGCTTGCTTCAGTTCAGTGCTGGTGATGTGCCGTTCCCAGCTTCCTAAAACACCTTTTGTCCTAACTCTTCCTCAGTTCTCTTCCTGTTAGAAAAGTTATGTGAACATCACTACATGTCCTCCAGTTCTGCATCCCTGCCCTCCCCCTGCCCAGCCACTGTTGCTTTAACAGCCTGGATTTTCTCCCTTCATTTCTCATCTTCTTGTAGGACCTTTATCAACTACTCTGATTACATCAGAGAGCAGTAACATTTTCCCCTGATCTGCCCTGTCCAAGGAGCTGTGCTGCCTATAAACAGCTCATTCTTCATATTCCATATTCCAGAGTCAGGATTCTGGCTCGTGTTTGACCTTCAGGTTGCACAGTCCAAGCTGCAAAACTGTGGCATCTTCCCCGTGCAGTGCTTGAGCACTGAGTGCTCACAAATCACAGCACAAAAATTACATCTTCGCAGCCTTCCCGTGGGAATGACTTTGTCAGGCTAATGAATAAAACTGGAGGGGGTTTTGGCAGCACCTGATAACAGAACTTCTTTGTAAAGGAAATCTTATATTTGCTCCTGGAGGTGAAAGTTCAGATCTCCCACTGTTTCTTTCCTTGGTCAGGTGTGTTACTACAAGACAGAGACATGACTGGTAATCTTGCTTAATTCCTGGGATTCCAAGTCAGCTGTAAATTTTAAACACAAACCTCCCCAATTTGGCAAATGAAATCAGAAAATGTGCTAAATCTTCTCAAATCCAACGCAGGGATGTGTGGAAGGAAGAGCACATTTCCTCCCAAGTGTTTCTGCGGTGCAGAAAGGGCAGACAGAAAATCGTGCAAGATGATATAATTAGTAGCAACTCACAGTTTTCCCTCCTTCCATCCCAAAGAATCTCACAGGCTTTATGGAGATTGTAGTAGGGAAATATAAACCAAGGATCATTTTACCACCCCTGAAATTCAACCAACTGCTCCCCGGCCCTCCAGCCAGGCTGACACAGCCATTAACCAGGCAAATACCTCCCCTGCTGCTGCTTATTCATCTCCACCGGGCACAGACCTTCCCAGTGAGCACTCCCCTTAGAACTGACTGGTGAGATAACGACAGAAGAATCTGCCACGTGTCTCCCCAGTTGTTGCAGTTTAAACCCTGGGATGAAAATATTTCGGGGCTGGGAAGTGCCTTGGAGCAGGACAGCAGGTCAGGGGCACTGACAGCAGGCACTGACTGACAGTGTGGAGCTCAGTAAAGCCAGTGATCCTGTTTATACTGGGGTTGGGTTTTATTTTTGCTGAAATTCCCATTAGACAGAGTTGCTAAACCTGATTTTTACTTTCTCCTCTAGCAACATTTTTAACTTACCAGAGCACCTGCTTGGAATCCCTGAAGAGATGGCTGGTCGTGCTCATTCCCAGGTACCAGAGGCAAAGAGGCAGGCAAAATATCCTGAAAAACTGTAAATGAAATGGAAAGGCCATGAAACCTGAGCCACTTCTGAACATGAGACATAAGCTTTGTGGGTGCTTAAGGATGTTTTGTTCATATTTAAGGTGTACAGTTGTGAATTTTGTTATTAGAACAAATCCATCCTGCAGTGAGGCAACAGAAGACTTCAGCCAAGCTCAACAGAGCTACAAGTTCACAAAAAATGTTTGAAAATCAAGGTGTTTATTTGAAATCAGCTGGTGATGAAATGGTATATGTTGTGGTTGGGTTTGTGTCTCCATCTGAGGCTTTATTTTGCTACAGATGCTCTTTGTAATGAAAGCTCTCAGAAAAACTGAGCACTGATAAGCATTCCTAGATAGAATGATCAATCACAAATAAATACACTTTCAGACTGGAATACTGCAGGATTTATACTGGGAGTTATTCTGGAATACTTATGCCAACCAAATTTTTGTGAAGAAGACCCTGCAATAATTTCCAGGGGAATTAGCTCCTCAGATCCCTTCTGTGATGCTCTGTCTGAAGAGAGCCTGAATTTCCCCTCAGAAGCTCCCGTGCTAGAGAGGATTTCTAAGGACACACAATAGATAAAAAAGCACGGAAGTGACAGTAGGAAAAACTGAAATGAATGCTGAATTGAAGCTTTAGGATAACTGAGTGTTGAGGACCAGGAAAAGCTGCACTTTGTGCTGCTGTGGGTTCTCCTGCAAGGACATGCACAGAAGATCCCCTCCCTCTTCTCCACTCACAGGGAAATTAAAAGGGAGCCAACATTTCTACAGAGACAATTTACAAATGTTTGCTTTCCAGGATTGTAACTCTGGCCAATTCTCCAAACTCTTATTTATCATCTCCTCAGTCCTGCAGCAGGAAAACTCTTGCTGAATCCTAAGCAAAGTTGAGTAACACTTCTAGATTTGGTCCCTGAGGAATAGCAGTAGAGACTCAAATTTTACACTCTGAGTATTTCATCCATTGTCTTCTTACCAAGTGGCAGCGGCTTTTGTGGCAATCATTAAAAACTTCCCTTGTGATGCAGAGCACTATTGATATTTGAACTCTCAGGGGGAGTAACCCCTGTCTCTATCCAAAAAGCAGCAGATTAAAATAAACACAACAGTGCTGAGTGAGGAGTGAGGATGTTAATGACAATTCTGGGGTTTGAAGCTGGCATTACTCAAACATCTGCAGCGTGTCTCGAGGCCCATGTAGGAGTGTGGTGACAGGAAAGGTGAGACAAAAGACAGGAAAGCATGTAGGAATCTGTCATATACAGGTTTTGCTGTAATAAGACATTGTACACATTGTTCTTTTCATCTGAGAATGTCAAAGCTCATTAAAAAAATCTAGTTAAATGTAAGAAGCTCTGTGAGGACAGTAATTGTTTTCCTGGTAGATGAACGGAATTCTCGAGTTATTCAGTTATTGCTCATTAGAGCTGGGGACAGAACTCAGGAACAGGACAGGGCTCCAACCTGGGCTGCAGGAAGGATTGGGTTCATTGTGTCAGTAGGACCTGTCACTATCTGCTGGTATTACAACAGCTCTGCAGTCCCCAGTGCTGCAAGGTGTGACCTGCTCACAGAGCAGAGGTGGCTCTGGCATGGAGGAATGCAGAGTCTCTCAGGACATCATCTGACAATCTGTTTTGAGGTAGAAATTCCTACTTATGAATTCCCCACCACACACTCCTGTCCTCTTCCCTTCACACCCCCTGCATTGTGCTTTTTTTTTTCCTGGTGCAGCTCCAGGTTAAATTGAATCAGGGAATTGATTGCAATTAGAAACAGTCCCCATAAACCCCATTTATTTTAACTTAGACTAGTACTCTGAGCTGGGTCCCCGATGCAGGTGTATGAAGTGTCATAAGAAAGGGGGTCCCCTGAAGGGAGGGATGAAGGAGAGAGGAACACTTTGCACAAATCTCACTTCGAGGTGTTTGTCCAACTGCCCTTAACTGAGCCCAGCCATGACAAGGTTCTAATTGCAACTGCTGTTTAAAAACCAGCAATTTTTTTGGTAAGTTTTGTTTAAATTAACACAAGCAAGTGGAATATATCAATAAACAAAACAGCAGCTCTGCCACCTCAGGTGATCCTGGAAAAACTTTCAGAGCAGAATTTGAGATCGTTGACAAATTGCCATCCTTCCCTTTTCAGAGTCAAAACAAAGTCTCTCAGAAACACACAAAGGAAATAACCTTTAAACTCCATGTTTGTTTTCACAGGGTTATGACTGGAAAATAATTTCATCTGCCTTTCTGAGGGGGGGTGGGGTGGGATAAAACAAAGTCGAGACCATTTCCCTCCCACCACAGCCGTACATCCATTATCTGACTCACCACTTCTGGGACTCCTTCTGGCAGCTCTGGCTTTATTGCACTGAAAAACTCGAGCCTGTGAAAATATCCCCCGTTTTCAGGTTACTTTGTTCTCTATTTCGTTCAGGTCAGTGTTCCTTCCTTTAAGGGTTTGCAACTAAACATTCCCTAAGAGCTGGATGTTGCTGCTCTTGAGCCTTGTGGGTTGGGAGGGAAGGGGGGAGGGAAGGCAGAAATGAAGGGGGAGGAGAGTCCATATCTGAAGAGAGATTCTAGGCTCGAGAAATCTTCCTGACATCCATTCAGCTTCCAGCAGAGTCTCCTTCAGGGGCTTTTCCTGAGATCCAAAGGCCCTTGCAATTCACAGCGGCATTTCCATGCCAGTTCCCCTCTGGGAGCTAAGGTGGAACTGCACTCCTGGAGAATAATCCCAAAGAACACCACCAGCCTCCCATTGAAATGTCAACCAGGCACTCCTGTTGTAGGGAGTAACAAAGACATGCTAATATAATTAATTATGAAGCCTCAGTAACTCATTAACACATCTTTAGTGCTTAGATCTTTGAAAATCAGCTGTATAAAGTGACTGTCAGAGTTAATTCCTTATAAATTGCCTCCTGTCAGATCCAGCACAGCAGCAGGTTCTCTCAGGCCTTGGTGCTAAGAAATCTGGGTGGTTTTTTTTTAGTTCTGATGCAGTTATATTGCTGTTATTAAAGGTAGAAGCTGTTGCATAAGCAGGACTTTGTCAGGGCTGGAGTAGAGAAAAATAAAAATGCCTTTAGCCAGCCCAGCTTGCACAGTTGGGGGCACAAATAGGAAAAGTTTCAGTCATCTAGATGGAAAACTAAGGACAAAAGAAAAAAAAAAAGATAAAATAAAAACCAGGACTGAAAGGTGTCCCATAATCTGGCATCAAAATGTTTCCATGCCTGTTTTTAAATTGGGGGATGGCAGCCAGTTTATGGCTCTCCCTCCTCCTGCTGCTGCCTCTAGGACAGCATTCCAGCTCCAGGCCTCATTCCAGAGCATCCTCCCTCCCCTCCACTCCCCTCCCAAATATATATTTCAATAGGCTTAGGCTACACCGAGTTCCAAACCCAGCATGTAACTGGGGCAATTGTCTTTTCCACTCCTCCACAGAGAGCCACAGTCATGCAGCTCAAGCCCTGTTTTGTCATGTTTTCACTCTTTTTTTTTTTTTTTTTAAAAAAGTGGGACTGAGAGGAGTTCTCGTGTTAGGAACACATATCTAGTGAAGAAAAAAGTTACAGAAATGGGCTGCACTGGTGGTTCCTTTAGTGATTTGTGAGTCCCAGCCTGTCACTGCCACAAGATAAAGGGAGCCGATAAAAGGGAAGTGATCCTTACAAATCACTTGGCATTTTCGGCAGCAGTTGAAACACTCACACTGACACATCCAATTTGTCTGTACAAGGTATTCTGCTCCTCTTCATCTGCCATTTGCCTTGGAGAAGGTGCTAATCTTCCTGCAGTGCATGATTTTGGGAAGTTAGCTCTGTGTTTGTATAATATGCTCCGAGACCCTTTGGGATCCCCCTTGTACTTGGGATAACAAACCAATCAAAAGGAGCTATTTTTATTTGCCATTTCAGAAAGTGGCTTTCACACTAAGTGATTTTTGCTGGTCTAGCTAACGTGGCAATATGCAAATTCTCTAAATGGAGGTGAAATTTACACCAGGAAAAGGAGTCCTTGCAAATCTCTTTCTTGCTGTATTAGCTGACATCACGGTAGGAGCATTATTTTATTCTCCACTCTTCCATCACATCTCTATACCCCAGTAAAGCTCTGATGTAGTTACTGATCACTCAGTGTTCACAGAAATAATGTTTAAGAAATGAGAGTAGCAGGCTTGAAATCAAACAAACATACAGATTTCTGAAGAGCAATCAAGAGCTATCATGCAAATTCTGCTTGCTTGCTTTACATAAGCACAGATCTGATGGTCCCAAGTGGGGTGTAACTACTCATTTCTGAATGTCCTTTTTTGAACCAACACTTCTGCAAAGGGGAGTTCTAATCAGATGAGCAATACCTGTCCACAGTGCCTCCTGAGATAACCAGCTGCTTCAGACACAGCAATTAAAGTTCCAGTAGCTGTTTGAGATAGTGGAGACAGTATGAGCTGATGAACGATGTACAGAAGAAATAACTAATTTTTAGTCATGCATTGTTACTGAAAATGGGATTAATATAAGGGATCTGGGTGTTTTCAGCACTGCAGAGGGTCAGGTCCCTTTTAGGAGTGGCACAGCAGATTGTACCTTTCAGTCTGGGATGAGATGCTGGATGTGCTGCTCCGAGCCCAGCAGGGACTGGAGGCTGCTGAGCCCAAACAGGAGAGAGGCTGCCAATCCCCCAGTGCCAGCCCCAAGGCCCTGCCCAGGGCAGAGGCTCCCAGTGCCCCCAGTTCAGAGCCCCATGGCAGGACTGGGGATCTGAGCCTTTCACAGATGCCTCCTCGACCAATCCCGCACTCGGCCCCGTGCCAGCCCTGCTGCGCTTCCAACCCCGCTGGCAGTGCCTCTGTGCCCCTGTGGGGGTGACTTGGCTGCCACCTGCCACAAAACCTTCCCCCAGCTTCTTCCTGCTCTGCTTACCCTCCACTTAAAGCTTTGTCCCATTGCTAATCATCGAGGAAGGAATGTGGGATAAACAATCCCTGCACAGGGCAAGGAGCTGCCCCCGTGTTTTACAAGGAGTCCCCATCTGTAATTCTGCAGAGCACAGCAGATCCATGATTTTAATGGAGGTGGATTCTTTGGATAATGCCTCATGTCCCTGTGTAACAGGACTTCAGAAATGAGGCAACATGTTTTCTGATGAGAGGGAGAAACAGGTTTTCAAAGCAAAAAGGGCACAGCATTTTCAGGGACATTTTTGGGGTGGAAACAGGAAAAAGGAGGTCTGGAATTAGAGAAAATGCACGAGCCCGTTCGGATGGACTGGGAATAAAGAGCTGGGGGAGTCCCAGAGCTTGACGGAACACCTCAAATCCACAGGAGGGCCTGAACCCTCCCCAAGGTACTGAGCACCTGCTGGGCTGCACAGACACTGTGTTCAACACTGACAGCTGGGGGGACCTTTCCTGCCTTCAGGTGTGGTGGATTTTAACATCACAACGCCAACAAAAGCCAAATATGAGAGTTACTGATCAGATATTGTCCATATCCAAATAATAAGGATAAAGTATCAGCACAAAGCCAGTTCAGACTCCACATTCCATCCTTTGCAATAGTTCAGTACCAAATCAGACCAAATCTGTCACCTTGGGCTGTTCCCAGTCACGGGTGGGAAAGGAACAACCAGGGAACAGAATTAGGCCTTGCTGGTTATACAAGTTGGGGAGACAAGCAGGGCCTGGGGTGACAATTCTATGGAACAAAGCCTTGCCGTTGCTTGGAGAGTGTTGTTGGTTGGCTGTGGTTTGTTTTGAATAAAGGAGAATATGTAAAAGTTCTGTTCCTCTGAACAGAACCATCACATAGTTTCATTTATCACAAATCCAGGGCAGCCACTGCACCCACTAGTGGGGGAATTTTTACTGAGATGCAGCTCAGAGTGTCTGTATTGCTCAGGTCACAGTGATCAGACCCCAGAGTGCAGCTTGTTCTTACAGCTCAGTCCTTTTTTGATGCTGTTCCCCCCATTTCTTCTTCTCTCCCTGTTCTCCCTTTACCTCAACCTTCTCTTGCTGTTTTCTGATGATTTGCTCCACTATGTGAAAGTGAAAAACTTCCTACACTTTGTCTCCTGAAAGACAGAGAGGAAAGAGCACAAATCAGCCCTGCAGGAAAAACTGCCACTTCAGAGAGACCTGGAACAGCCCTTCCCCAGTTATCCCTGATTTTGCCTTATTTCTAGCGTGGAGTGAAAACAAAACCATCCCTGCACCTGATACTGCCAGGCCAGAAGGGAAAAGCAACGTAAGATTTCTCGAAATACCTTTGATATATTGAAACTCCAGAGAAACTGGAATAAAGAAGGATCAAAGGGGTTCCTTAGAACAGGCATTGTCTGCAGCTGTTTGCTCCTTTCTCATCCTCAGGGAAGAAAAAAGCCCAGACATGCACCACGTTCCAGGGAACACGTTCTGCATGTGCAGTAACTTTGCATATTACTGGCTGAAAAAAAAAGTTGATTTATTTTTGGTCTGTTTGGTACTCAAATTCCAGTTTTCTTATCTCTTTGCCATCTCGAAAAAGCCCCCAAAACTTTTCCCCTTAAGTTCCCTCTGACAAGTCATTTAAAGTGTTTGAACTGCAGTTTGTGTTTAGCATTTCTATGATCAGGCACCCTGTATATTAATTCACACTTGTAATATTTACTCCTCTTCTAAACAGTAATATGCCTTGGCAGTTCCAATCATACCCATTTAAGATAATTTAATGATGACTTAAGATGATCTATTTATAGAGGATAAATCTTAAACATTAAGAATCTCTTTAAACCCCCACTCTGCTACTGGGTTCAAATATTTAGTATCAGTTATTCAACATAAACTTTAAAAATCCCACTACTTCCTGAATTTTACTATTTGCAGTAGAAAAACCTCATCCAGCAATGCTTGTTTTTTTAATAGGGTTGTTGAATTTCAAAATATATTTATTCCACTCCTGAAGGGCAGATGGGCTTGTCACTGTCTTGCATATTTAAGTTGATCCCTTAAAAATTCAGCTTTTCTCAGGCAGTGCTGTACTGGATCTCACCAATACCAGCAGCACAGCAGTGGTTTATGATACAGCAGTTGAATTTTTGAATGAAAAAGTTGAGGCAGAACCTCAAATATTTTCTCCAGGGAAGCCACTGAACTCCTGCTGTGACAAAACCAGGACATTGTTTCCAATCCTTGTGTTTTTTAAAGCTCCTTTTTTAAATGGATGTTTTAAAAAAAAAGGTGGAAACAGAAAGCTGAATGAGAAATAAAGATAATAAAGTCGACTCAAACCCACAGATACAGACACCTGGTTGGAAATCCAGAGTTCTAGAATTGTGTTTTTTGAGATGTTTCGCTTGCCTTGAAATTGGTAGAAAGGACAGCAGAGTGTAACTTGTCATTAAGTTCTGTAATTCATATCCTGACCTGTGACCTGACAAAAAAAAGATGCCAAACTTGAACTCTGGAAGTTCAGATTAACTCAATCAAATCAGAGAGAGATGACAGGGCTGAAAGGGCCATCAGTCCAACCCAAGGGTGCATTTATGTTCTTGGCTGTTCTGTGGGGTATCCTGAAGGTTCACACCACCCAGGGGAAGAATCACAGCGAATACACAGCCAGGATTTGAAATTCTGAAGGATTCAGTCCCACTGGAGCTTTTTCTTTGCTTTTGAAGGAGGTGCCACTGAACCTCTTTCTGCTCCAGTTCCACTGGCTGTAAAACGGGTATAATAGTTCTTTACCACGAATTTTAGGGAGTCTTATTTCACCATTAATTGTGAAATATTTTAGATTCCTCAGAAGAGCCGTTGCATTGGTTCTGACATAAATGGATTCACATGTGCTCCAGAGCAGAACTCACTGCTGAGCTCCCACTCTTGATTCCCACACCCAGGCCAGGCTCCTTCCCAGCAACAGCCGGAATAACTCCCCTAAGTTCGTGCATCTGTGCCTGCTTATGCCAGCGCTAAATTTAGCCCCTGCATTCAGCACCAAGGGGTTCCAATGGAGCTGCAGATTGAAAAAAACCTCTAGGCACAGTGCTATCTGTTGGGAATAATTACCTAAGGAAGCGGGACAGCAGTCCCTGTGACAGGAGCGGCACAGGTGTTATCCAGCTGTGCCCATACCAGGGACACTCCTAGAGCTGCCCAGCGGTCGGGAGGCACTCGATCCCTCAGTGATTCCAGGAGCTCGTCCCTCAGTGATTCCCCCTCAGCACAAATCACCACAGTTCCCTCATCAAAACCAACACGAGCAAAAGCAACGAGTCCGAGCACACGCCGGGCTTTACGCGTTCGGAGCTGGCTCCTCGGCCCCCTTCCCTCGGCAAATACACGGCGACACTCCATCCAGAGCGGGAATTCGCCCGCGTGTCTGGAATTAGCGATAATTCCCCCTCAGCTTTGTCGCCCCCTCCCCACCGCCATCTTAACTCCTGGCAGCCCCCGCGCCCTCCCGCCTGTGCTGCCCCTCGTGCCCCGGCGGAGCGGCGGGACCGGCCGGGCCCCAGCGAGGGTACGGCGGGGGCGGCCAGAGGGGGAAGAGAAACCCCCGCTGGACCTCCGGCCTCAGGAACGGTGGCGGGAACACCGCGCACCCCTCTCCCGCCCGGAGCCGCCGCCCGCCCCGCACACCCCTCGGTGCCCGCTCCCAACATGGCCCCGCCCGCCTCACTTTGCCGCCCGCGGCCCGGCGGGCTCGGCGCTCGGGTGACGTCACCGCGCCTCGCCCGTTTCCATGGTAACCGACGGAGCGGGCGGTGGGAGCGGGACGGACCGTGACCCCCAAACCCTCGGGACCCCCCGGGACCCCCCCCCCCCGGCCTCGCCATGTTCACGGACCTGGCGGCGCCCGGAGCCGACGTTCAGTCGCTGTGGAGGAGCGCCCGGAGCGCGCGCTGCGAGGAGGTGAGAGACCCCGGGACGGCCCCGCTCCGTATTCTTGGACCGCCGGGCCGGGCCGGGCCGGGCCTTCCGCGATCCTGCCCCGTCTTGCCCCCTCCGTGCTCCTTCCGCGGTGCAGGCCCGTGTTGTGCCCACCGGCTCTGCCCCTTCCAGCCCTTTATTGGCCCCGTACGCGAACTGGCAAAGAAACAGCCCCGCAGCTGCGCCGAGCGCTTCCAGCGCTCTCAACGCGGCGCTGTCACCTGTGCGGTGTTCGCTGCTGCCCCCGGAGCTCGCTGCCTTCTCCAGCTCCCCCCGTTCCGTGCTTTAGAGCACGGCCCGAAGCTCGCTGGCATTCGGGCATCTCTGCCTCGCGTCAGCTGGGTCACAAAGACATCCCCTGCACAGGTACCGAGTCACCTGTGCTTAGCCACGAGCCCGAGCTGTGCAGATGGGCTGGAAAGTCCCTGTGAAACGCCAGAAGGTGCTTTGAACGCTTCGTGCAACACTTGTTTTTCTGTTTGGATTAGAGACTGTCTGTCTTCTTTTACCAGAAAAGCTGCCAGACTGGGAGAATTTCCACAGCAGAAGCTGCAACACAGTCTCACACAGGCCAGGATGTTGCGGTGCAGACGGAACAGGGCAAAGATGTTCTCCAAGACTTCCAGCAACAAGTCCAAGTAGATTACACTGGCCTTCTGTCATTCCTTCAGAGAGTGGAGGACACTGTTATCAAAGAGCTAAATAAAAACTGGGAAAGCCGTGCCTTTGATGGCTTTGAAGTGAAGTGGACAGATCAGAATGAAACAGTAAGTGGCAGAATTCAAAGCCTTGTCATTGCCCAAGCAGGGCTGCTTGCAGTGGCTCTGACTCATTAGTTCTATTCCTGGTTGCTGTGATTATTCTTGCCTGGTTCTAATAATTAAACATTATGAGTTGGATTAGTTTGGGGGGGCGGGGTTTCCACCTTTCTGTTTGCTTGGTAAAACTGTTCTTCCTGCTGGTGACTGCAGAGCAGCGTGAGAAGGAAGTCTGCAGTCAGGGCAGGCTTCTCTTCAGTGCCCTTAGAGCACTCCAGACTAGCAGGGCTCTAGGAACAGTTGCAGTCAGTGATTTGGCAGCTCTTCCTACTTAGACTCTGTTTGTTTAGTGCACAGTGCTCAGGAATGGAGGCACTTTGTGTCAGACAGCACACGCTGGGACCGGTGTTTTCAAACCGCTCAGCGAGTGCCAGACTCACACGTGGGGGGTGCTGTGAATCCTTAGGCACAGCCTTCCAGAGCTGTGCAGTCTGAGACAGGCACTAATGGAGTGACAGTTGGTTTGGTAGGGTTATGCTGGGGCTTTGTTTCCCAGCAGGAATTCAACAACCTTTTCACATCCATCCTGGGACAGAGGGAAGCCCAGGCTGTAACAACGCGATCCCGTCAGGGATGGGCACAGATCTCGTGTCTCTGTGTTCAGGGATTGCTGCTGCAGTGCTTGCATTTGGTCTCTCCCAGGTGTTGTGTTTGCATACGTTGTCATTCCCATGGGCTCAGCGTGATAACCTGCAGGTCACCGGTGTCTCATGGAATGCCACGGGATCTGTCATCGCCTGTTCCTACGGCCGGTGAGTATCCGGGTGGGTTGGGAGTGCAGCTGAGGCTGATGGGACACCTCAGGCTGACCTCAGGTCTAGATGTGTTTGCTTTCCCTCGTGGGTAATAAACTAACACGTATATAAATAATTCACCTTCAAAGTAACAAAATGATGTCTCCTATTTCTTCTGCCTTTCTCCCTGCCCTGAAAATGGACACAGGATTTACTGTTTCTAGGTAGATTCTGTTGGGAAAGGAAATGTAAAGAGCAGGTGCAAAGAGCTGTAGGTGAGGTTTGTGCTTTATCTTCCCTGAGATCGTGGTGTTTCATGTGGTCTCTGAGCACCCTGGATGAACCTGGCACCTGTTCCTGCCCAGTGCCACAGACATGCACTGACATTCAGGGCTTTCTGAAATGAGGCTTGGACAAAACATTCATGTAATTCAACAGTACCTCCCCTTCCTGGGCCCTGCTGCTGCCCTTACTCTTGTTTCCTTCTGCTCCCATTTGCTTTGATTCAAAACCCCAGCGAAAGGGGGATCCATGAGGGAATCTGAAGGGAAGAGTAAAACAGGGCAAACCTGTATGTTGGTGTCTCCTTCTGCTCTCCCAGTCTACAGCTGTTTGCAGATGGGAATGTGGTTTCTGTGTCTGTGGATACCCTGAACATTCCATATGCACCCTTTTGATTGTTCCCATGATTTGCATGGTGAGTAGGCCTTGGAATGGGGAATCATACCCCAGATTTCCTGGCTGGCACTTTGTTGTGTGAGCACAGACATGAACCCTGGCACACGCTGTATAAACCAGCCCACAGGGAGGTTCCATCCCCTCGTGATCCCTTCACCTCAGTTTTCCTTCAGGCCACAAAGCAGCACATGGAAATGACCCACAGGGCATCCCAGAGCTCTGCTGGGCTGGGATGCTCTGTGGGACAGGCAGGGCAAGACGTGGCTTTCCCTTTTTCAGGTTGGATGATGGGGACTGGAGAAGAGAAAGATCCTACGTTTGCACCTGGAATCTGGACAGAAGAGGGTTGAATCCCCAGGACCCTGACGTGGTGCTGGTTACCCCCAGCTCTGTCATGTGCCTGGCTTTCCACCCCTCCCAGCCCTCACTGATAGCAGGTGGGTTGCCCTTACCTGGTGCCTGAAACACAGCCTTGTTTCCTGCAGCCTGGATCCTTTGGTTTCTGGCTCTGAGCTCAGCCTCAGCTTTCCTGCGGAGGGAACAGCGTTGCAGCTCCTCAAATGAGGGACTAACACTCCCCAACCTCGATAAGTGCACTGTTACCTCTGAACTGGGACTTGCTGCCTCTTCAGTGACTTCTGCCTTTATATCATCTCCTCAGAGAGAGATGACAGAGGGAAAGCCAGCCCTGGGTGTAAGGGAAGAACATATTTATTTCAGCAGAACAATGTTCTCTTACACCAGGGCTGACTGTGCCCTGCCCAGAGCTGCCCAACCTTTGAAGCTGCCGGGTCTGTTCCCACCACAGCTCCGTTTGCGAGTTTGTTCTGAGGCACCAGGCCTGAAATGTTTTATCTCTGTCCTTTCAGGTGGCCTTTTCAATGGGGAGCTGGTGGTGTGGGACACCAGCAGGACAGGAGACTCTGTGATCTGGAGGACAGGGATGACAGATGACACCCACACTGACCCAATCTATCAGGTAACAGAGACCAGAGACAGCAGGCAGTGCTGGGGGAGGTGAGTGTTGCCACAGCTCTGTCATCCCTTTTTGCTTCCTATCCATATCCAAGCTGCTGCATTTCAGCAGTTACAGTCTCTTTTGCTGGCTGTTTTCCCCCAAGTTTAGCTCCTGAACAGAAACCTGTAAAAAAATAACTTCTCACTGCCCAACATAATTGAAGAGCAGGTCCATTCACATTAACCATTAATTAATGCTGCTGCAGCCAACAATACTTGTGATAGTTTAAATACACGAGTAGATCCTCGAGTGGAAGCCTAAAGCCCCATGCTCTGAGGGGATTTACAAGCATGTTATTCAGTCTGACTCCCTAAAAATTTTGTCCTTCTGGGGCCAATCTGTATTTCCTCATCCGAAAGGGAGGAAAACATCGCTGTTTGCAGCTGGGTGAAAGTGCCATAAATGCCCCATCCCAAAAGCAAGGGCAGCGAACCATAGAAACTGCCCTAGAGAATTCAGCCCTGAACACCTGGGTGCATTTCTCTCCTCACATCTGTGTCTGTGCCAGTGCTGCTTTGGTGCCAGGCTCCGTGGTTGCTGCCTGGCTCCGCTCCTGGCTCGTCCTGGCAGGTCCAGGCACCGCCGGCAGCCAAGCGTGGGCTGGGCAGTTGTGACAGTCCCCCACCTGAGCTGGTGGCATTTGGAACAGGTTCACTGGTTACCTGACCCCAAGCACAAGCAGCACTGCCGGCTGCTGACTGTGTCCACTGATGGGAAGATCCTGGTGTGGAGGGAGGAGCGGAACGGGCAGCTGGTCTTGGCCGATGGATTCGCTCTGGTGGCTCAGCAGATCCCTCGCAGCGCTCGGCTGAAGAAGGTGAGTTCAGCAGCTCAAAGAGCTGATCCCTCAAAATCCCTCTAAACCCTGGAGCCCAAGTGTCAGAGCTCACTCTGCACACGAGAAGGACCAGGAAAATCTTCTGAACACACACTTTAACCCTTGATCCCCATCTCCTTTCCTACACTGAAATCACTCTCGGAAGACTGGCAACAGCTGAGGTTTTGCCATGCTCTAAGGAGATGCTGCTGGAATGGAGAACTTGCCTCTAATATTAATTCACATGAATCCCTCTGTAGAAGGATGCAGCAGGAGTTAAAGGCTGAGCAGTGCCCTGGATCCCTGGCAGGCTGGGCTGAGCTGCTCCGACCGTGTCTGCCTTTCCCTGGAGCCCCGGCGCTCACACCAGCTCTATCTCTTCTTTTCTCCCAGTTGGCCTGGGCAGAGGGAGCCGTGGGGGTGACCTCGCTGTCCTTCTCCCCCTTCGATCCCCACGTGTTTGTGGTGGGTGTGGAGGGGGGTTATTCCCTGAGGTGCTCCACTGCAGCCCAGACTCCGGCTCTCCCTCCCTGGGGCAGCTCCGTTCCCCTCAGGGCGCCGGTGGAATTCACCTTCTCCCCCCACGCCGGGCCCGTGTACTCCGTGAGCTGCTCGCCCTTCCACAGGCAAGTGCTGCATGTTGGGCAGTGACCCTGGCTCTGAATACACCTTTCTCAAATAGCCCCTGGGGGGGTGCGTACAAGTTCCACAAGAGTGTCACCTGGCATTGTGAACTTTAGTTACAGTAGAAACAATGTCCCCTGGCACTGATGAAGCTGCCCACTAATGCTGTGTGGGCACGTGAGCAACATCAGCACCTTCCTTAGATCATCCCAGTTGTTACAACCATAAATCAGTTTAAAGACAAGGAGCTGCGAGTCCTTTACTCGGGCACATCACAAAGTATGTTGCTTAATCCGTCAGATTTTCTGACATCAGAAATCTCAAGAGTAGCTGCAGCCAGAATTTAAATGAGAAGCTCCCATCTCTGCCAGCAGTTCACCCACTATCCACAGAGGCCCCAAGCATGAAACGTGCTGACAGCCCAGGTTTGCATTTAATTTGCATGAGACAAACCCAGCTCGAACAATGCCCAGCTCCAGATCAGCAGTTCTCAGGCATCCCTGGGCCACAACCCACCAGCAGCTCTCACTGGTCAACACAAACCCTCATTAAGTGTAATTGAGGGCAGTAACAAAGCTGCATCTCTCCAGCCCAGGGCACAGCTTGGCAGTCGCTGCTTTAGGAAACATACTCAGACCTTTACAAAGCAGGGATATTGTCCGAGGTCACGCTCCTTGGCTGAGTTTTGTTCCATATCTTTAGCAATAAAATGCTGTTTCTTGCTTCCTCCCTCCCCCAGGAACCTCTTTCTGAGCTGTGGGACTGATGGCCAAGTTCACCTGCACTCCATGCTGCAGCCACAGCCCCTCTTTGCTGTGCAGGTGTCTCAGAAGTACCTGTTCTGTGTGCGCTGGTCTCCAGTCCGACCCCTGGTCTTCGCAGCTGGGTCTGGGGAAGGCAAGTACCTGCAGGTGCCTCCTCCTGGGGATCGAATTACGAATGTGCTGGGTGTAAATTAGTACAGGTCAGTCGTACTGATCAACAGATCCCACAAGCAGAGAGCAGTGTCCATTGTTTGCACTGTGTAATTAGTACAGTAGGGAGCAATTTGTAATTTTAGCGACCAGGGCAACCAGTCACAGTTATTTTTCACTTTTGACAATACCTTTACATCTGTTGCCATGGTCATTCACAGGGATAGAGCATGGCAAGAATATGGCTGAAACATATTTCCAGCTCCCTTGTTTTTGACATTTACTTCCAGAACTATCAGTTTAAAACAAGAACGTTTTCCTTAGAGAATTGCCCAACCATTTCTGAGTTAAAGAATGGAAATCTCACAGAATTCGCCAAGCTGGTTTCAGGTTTCTGACAGCAGAATAAATCTGTGCTGTCTTGCAGTGATGTCAGCTGTCACAGCCTAGACACCATCAGCAGGGGGAACAGGTTAAAAATAACTCCTTCCCAGACTAAGCAGGTACTCACCTGTTCAATCCAGTGTCCTGTGCCCCAGAGCTGCCAGGAGTGTCTGTGTTGCAGGAGAGCTGCTCCTGTTCGACCTGGCGAGGAGCACACAGCAGCCCACGCTGTCCCTGAAGCAGGCCCTGAGCCACTGCCCCGTGTACTGCCTGGAATTTAACAGCAAACACACACAGCTCCTGGCAGCAGGGGATGCTGCTGGAACAGTCAAAGTGTGGCAGCTGAGCTCAGACTTCACCGAGCAGGGACCACGGGAAATGAATCACCTGGAGCAGCTGGCGAGTGAGAGCACGGACTGAGGCAGCAGCACAGCAGCTGCACGAAGCTTGTTCCTGTCCTGACTCCAGAACAGCTCCCCACTCACCTATTCCAGTGCTGGAAAACACAGGTAACCCTCAGCTGGAGCTGCACCCATGTAACAGTTAAATTTGCATTGAACCATTAAACACCTGATGATGTGGTTCGACCAGTAACTTTTATTGAAGCACACTGCAACATGTTTCTTTTCCCTAAGAGTTTTAAGCTAAGCACTTTAAGGTTACATCATAAAGTAACATCGATTATTGTAGAGCACAAAGAGAGAGAGACACATGCAGAGCTACAGTCAGCAAACGTGAGCATGTCCTTTGCATCTTCTGGGTCTGGTGTTTCAGATCAATTCACGAAGAGTGAACGTGTAAATTCTATGTAGTCGTAGGCAGAAGGCAGTTCCCTGCCCTTGCCATCCATGTAGGGCTTCATGTGAGAGATGCAGTAATCGGCCTGTTCCCGGGTCAGGTTCTGCAAGAGACACAGCACAGGGGTCAGATGGGGCAGCCCTGCCATGCCCTGGGCACAAACCAGAGCAGCACAGCTACTCCCAGCATGGAAATGCTCCAGCTGCTGGCACTGGTGAAGGGCTGGAACACCTGACCGGAGTCTTCCCACCGAAGAGAAGACAGAACAGGTGACAGACACGAGGAAGCACTGCAACCTCTTTATTTCCCTGCTAGCTGGTGGGATTCAGACAGGAAAAACTTGCTGTCTTGGCAGGGCAGTGAGAGGGAGGAGGTGTTCCTGCTTTCTAAGCTTAGGCTGAAGCTTCTCCTTTGAATCCCTGTCTGGAGAAACATCTCCCTCTAGTCTCCCAAATGATGAAAGGGAAGCTTTGGCTTCTGAGGACAGTGCACTCCCTTCCCAGGCCTTTGAGTAGCTCTTGTTTTACTCAACCTGAGCAGTTCTTTGTCAGTTAAAGCTTTTCCTCTTCCTCTGTAGAGCCAAGAAAGCAACTACGTAGGGCTATGACAGCACTTTCTGTGCTTGCTGCAGAGGATCCCCTGGCAGGGTCAGAGCTGACTCAGCCCCAGTGACATGAACCTCCAAGCCCTTAGTGCTGGGTTTTGTTCACAATCCATCAACAGAAAGCTCTGGGTGTTCCTCCCCAGGGGGTCACAAGCAGCACTGACCTGGTAGAGTTCCTCCTTGGTCACATAGGGCTTCCCCTCGGAGCTGAGGGCGCGGAAGGCGCTCTCGATCTCCTCGCTGGATTTCACGTTCTCGGTCTCGCGGCTGATCATGAAGGCCATGTACTCCTGCAGGGACACGTGGCCATCCCTGCCAGCAAAACACAGTGTCAGCACCCAGAGCTCAGCACTTCCAGGCCCTCAGGAGAGAGGCTGGAACTGCTCTGGAATGAGTGAAAGTCTTGACACAGGTGACTCAGCACCAGGTCATTTTCTCAAGTCCGTTTGTTCTTCACCAGTGTCAGACTTTCCCAGGAGTTGTGAAAACAACCACAGCCTCTCCCCAGCAGAAACAACCCCAGCTCTCAGCCTGCGAGGGACCTTCCAGCCAACACTGACACACATTTCTGCAGTACAGAAAGGTCCAACCCACGTACCTGTTGGGATCTACAGTGTCAAGAATAGACTCGAACTCGGGGTCTGGCTCTCCTTCCTCCACCATGGGCAGGTCGTAGCCGAGAGAGCGCAAGCAGGACTTAAACTCCTGGTGATTGAGACGTCCAGATTTGTCCTTGTCAAAGTGCCTGAAAACATGAACACAGAGCCCACATTTGTAAGTGACAATTGCTGAGTCTTGATAGCTGTTAAAGTGGGCAGAGAACTAGAAAAGGTAACAACTAGCCCCCTATTCTGTAAATAGTTCTAGCTAACATACACAAAAAGTAAGCACAAATTCTTTGCTTAAAAAGCATCCTAAAAATGGCTGTATTCCCAGTTGGAATGCATTGACACTCTCAGCTCCTACAGCAGTGCCCCCAGGAGAGTCTCTGGGGTGGCCCCCCCAGCAGCAGGGGCTGGAGGCTGTTGCCCTCTGGCAGAGATCAGACAGCACAAAGTGGGGCAAACAACAAAGGAGCCACAATGGATCTATCAGAGAATCCTGCAAACAGGAGCCATCCACGTCCCAGAAATATCTCCCATGTGTTCCCTGCAACTCACTTGAACATCATGCTGAACTCCTTCAGGGCCTCCTCGGTGACTCCAGTGGTGTTCCTGGAAGGGAAGCAGCACAGCTGGTGACCAATTGCTGAGCTGTGGAACTCTGAGTCCCTCTGTCCCCAGCCAGCAGCTGCCCCACCCGGGGAGGACAAGGGAGCCAACCACCCACCCTTACACTTGTAATGGAACTTGCAGAGTTCCAAAGAATTAATCAATTCAATGGAGATCTCGCCACTGCTCACAGCCAACAGGAGCTGTTCCCAAGCTGTAAGTTCATTCTCCTGCAGGGATGTACAAGCTCCCTGCACCCCTCAGTCTGAGCACAGGACACTGGTGCCCAGACCACTCCAGGTGTGGCTGCAGACGCACAGCTGTGTGTCCTGTGTGTCCTGTCCACCCCCAGCCCAGGTTACACCCTCTGATCCCCGTGTGGGCTGGGCAGTACCGAGCTTGGATCTGCTGTTCCAGGTTGTGCTGCATCCTCATGCCCAGCTGGTCCAGCTGGTCCCACTGCTGTGCCAGCCCCACAGTGCTGTGCTCTGTGTATTTGTTGTCCAAGATAAGTGCCTCTTCCATGGCTGCCCCAAGGTCCTCGATCTTCTTCAGCTGGCTTCTCATGGCTCGGATCTCCTGGTGCTTACGCTGGGAGGAGGAAGTGGAGACAATTCATGGAGCACCAAAAAAAAAACACCTTAGCAAGCCAGAACACACAGGCTGGCAGGGGAGGAAGGGTTAGACTCTTCTTTCTCTGCTGAGGCTTTATGTGCATACACTGGGATTTGTAAAATAAGAATCAGAACAATATTCTTCTTTGTGCTATTGGAAACCAACAGGGCTTGCAAAAGCATCACACCTTGTGATGTCAGCAGATACCAGATATGTAAATAGATAATCCCAGAGGTCTCTCCGGTACTCAAAATGTCTAAAATCAATTAAGATTTTACCATCTCATTACACACATTTCCCTTCCCACCCTGTGTTCCCAAGTCAGCTGGGAATGCTGTTTTAGCCAGAGGAGCCCATTTCTTACTTTAGTGGCTTCCAGTTGCGACTCCAACGTTCCCGACTCCTCCACCATACACGACCTAAACACAGAACCACAGTGAGGGGACGCCCCTCTCCCATAAAAAATGGCACGTGGGGCTTGAAATTAACAGTCCTTCCTTGAAATGAAAAATCCTCTCAGCAGTATTTGTTCTCCTCTCAGTATTTAAAGGCTGTTTTGGTGTTTTGTTTATTCTGACTCATCCTATTTCATACTGACACATGCAACATCTTCTCTGATTTTTATTTCTATTTATAGTTAATTTCTAGCCCCATTTGAAAGGCAACATGATCAGCAGCCACACTTCATGCCAGACTCAAAGCACCAGCTTTACTGGACCTCACAGAATTAGAACTTAGTGCAGTCCCACCCCACTCCCCGTGCCCAGCACACACACACACCAACTGCAGGTGAGTCACTGGAAATGGGCTGCATTTTTCACTCAGGTACAGGAGCTCTACAAAAGGTGTGTTACAGGGGGGAATATGGGGGTAAAATAAAGATGGTGAGAACTACTGGTTTGGTTGAAAAGTCATCTTAAATGTGGTGTAATCCCTGCAGAAAGCTCCAGACCTGTGCTGCTCAGCAGTGCCGGGTGGAAAGGTGCCTTTCCCACCCCACCTCTCCACGCTGCACCCGGAGCAGCTGAGGCACAGCCACTCTGCCCAGGGATTGCCACTCAACATGCAGGTCACCACTGTGGCCAGGGTCTCTCCAGGATCTCCTAGCTATGGACAGTCTCTGGATGCTGCTTTTCCCCCCTCCCAGGATCCCAAGCAATCTTCAGGCAGCCGTGTTTGGGAATCTCTGTCCTTCCAACACGTACGGTGAGAGCTCACACTGAACAACCTGCACGTGGACAGTGGCTCGGGGCACTGTGCAGGTGGGTTGTTGTCCCCCCCTCTGACTCTGTGGTATTTAAAGTTCCTAAAACCTGAATCTCTGGTATTTCAGTCACTAAAACCAGGTTTTCATCCTCACTGGAATATTTCCTCCCCCACGCTTTTGAGCTGCTCGAGAAGGGGATCCCAAGTGCTGGGTCGCTGTTGTAGCGATGGAAAGGCACCAAACATGGGGGTGTTTCTCACCACAGGGTTAAGGCTCAGACTCAACACACGCCCAAAGCCCCGAGCAGGAAGCTTGGGAACCAACCATGGAAAGAATCACCAGGGGAAAAATCAAACCTCCAAGCATCTCTAAGCCGTGAGAGTTAGTTGGAAGGAAAGCGAGCCTTGGAATTAAAAAAGAGTGCGTTCGAAAACCAAAGTGAGGTAAGAAAATAAGAGGAAAAAAAAACCTTCCAGATAGATCATCCCCAACTTCATACTGATAGACACGAATGACACGACGATACGCTATGCTAGTCAAAGGAAAGAAACCAAGTGAATTCCAAAAAGGAAGAAAGGAAGAACAGAGGAAAGAACACACCGAAACACGGCCACTGCACTGGAGCCACACTCCAAGCCAGCACTGCCTTGCAGCAAACACAAGCAAGTTCTTAATGAGAGGAAATTACTCAAATGCTGGTTGCATATACACAGAAATAATCTGTTAATATTGTCATGTAAATCACAAAAATGAGTCTCACTAAGAGACAGACTGAAGTTTTGCAGTTAACACACCCACAGATTCTTTAATGGCACTTTGATTCCTAAACTCCAATGATTGTTTCTCCCTTCCTGTTCCAGGCAGTGCTGGGTGCACACAAGCAGCTGCAAAGCAGGGGCTGTGCAGGGCAGCTCTTCTGGAGCTTCTCTGAAGCCCTGCCTTCCCTCTTGCCAAGCCAGGCTAAGCACAGCCAATGCCTCTTGGAACTAAACCCGTGGGGTTTAATCTATTCACGCAGAATTAGGGACAAATCCTGCCTGGCATATCAGCAGCCCTCTGGTAATTTGTTCAACAAAAGAGCCTGGCATGAGGATCTCCAACTCTGACCCCGCGTCTCTGAGTAAATGGGCCCTTTCTGTTTGCTCGTTCCTGG